ATCTGAATGGTGCCGACCTCGTGGTCAGGCCAGGACAGGTCCGAGTTCTCCACTCCATCCAGAGTCTCGTCATCTGAAACACAATACATATCATTAAAACACATGCAATGAGTTGACGGGTCGTGAGGACGGGCCGAGACGGTCAGTCCAGAGACACCAGAGATGGTGACCACCGGATCACATGACACATACCCCGATAGGGCCGGTACTGAGCCGTTAATGTCATGTCTTAATGTCTGTAAAGGTTGTAATCAATGGATGGTTTAATTTGATGGTCAATAAGAGATTCAATATATGTTTGTATTGTTTGTAAACATTGAATGTTTTGATGACATTTGAGTGATAAATACTAAGACAACGGCATAAGAATGGATCAATTGGCGGATCAAATGTTACGCGAAAGTGATGTCACACCTCAAGAGTTGTCAACATTTTGAGACCTGTTTTTCACATCAATTGTCGACTACTTTATGACACAAAACAATACATCAATGAATGAGATGTACAGTAAGTGTTGCATAACTTTGGATGTACTGTACGTTACGAGTGTTGGATAGACTGGTAGGCGATGTCTGTGTGTAATAGAGTTGGGCTTTAATAATAGTATAGCAATGGATAGCCCGGAGCTAAAGCCCGTCTCCACACCTGCGCTCTCATCAGTCACTTGTCCGACAGATCTTACGCACCAATGGATCCATAGAGCAGACAATCATTTGCTTTTGTGGCACTTTTTTGTTAATGCTTTAAATTATACATCTTTTTCGCAATAATATCATTGCATTCATTGTATAATTGACTCAATCCTCACTTCATTTATATAAAACTTTTTTTGTTTAATTCTTGAGTACTTTTAAATATGCCTACAAATCAACACTTGGATAGCTTTCAATAAAAACCTTTTAGTTTGTTATAAATATAAACTAATCGATGAATTACTTACAAGAAGAGAAGGTTTTAAAGATATTATTTTTATTATTTGCGAAAACTATTACTGCAGTCTCTTATGGGAATAAATCCTCAATTGATTACACTTTTACGTCAAAGACATGATATATTTTGAAGTTTTAAAAATATTTATATTTAAAAATTATACTTTAAATTCATGTGATTTGAAAACTCACTGAAATTTCTGCTATTCTTATAGAGTTCCCAAATAATGGGAGTTTTGGTGAAATTTTCGGATGTGTTTCGTCTGAATTCTTGATTTATGGTAACCAATGATCCGTCGCTTAAAAATTTTAATTTCTTTTCACTCATAATTTTATATGTGATGAAAAAAATTCAACGCTTATAAAACGTAAGCTTTCAAAGCTTTTCTAGAAAATAGGTTTACATTAAATGGTAAAAGTTATGGATAATTATGATCGATATGTTTAATATTATGCCATTTCTATTGTATTGATTATTCATTCAATTGTTTTGTATGTTTACAATTAAATGCACAAAATTAGCAAATAATGAGTTGTCCTTCAAATGCAAGATTATTGAAGCGCTTCACTATTTAAACATGATATTAAATTGCAAATAACAAGTAATATTGATTTGTCAAACATATGCCTTTAGTATATTCCGTCATCAGATTTGAATTTTAATGTAACCATTGATTCAATTATATATTTACATAATTTTATTGGCTTTTAAATAATTTCAAGAAATACCAAATAAATGAGAAAAATTATAAAAATATTGTATATAAATAGATAATAAATTACAATAAATAGTCAATCAATAAATTCATTGAATTGACTAAAAAGTGTGTCAATAGTTGGCAAGACTTGCCATAAGATATTCAATTTTATTGATGAAATTCTTGCCCTCAATGCGCTCCCAATCGACTTCACGATAACTGCCGGTCAGGTTCTGCCACTTTCGGTCCCGAACTAAAGCACTCGCGTAGAACTCTTGAGGCGAACAACACATCTTCACCTCAATTCCTGAATGTGGTCCACATCTTATCGCTATTATTCTTTAGACAAAGTATCCCTAATTATTACTAAATGCATAACAGAATGATTACAAGACATACCGATCGCCGTTCGGTGAAACCAATACTATGGAAGAGGCCGTACCGATGGGCTCCACGTGACCGACGCCTACGTTTATATTGAGTGATAGGACTCTCCAACCCATTGGTTTTGCCAGCGCTTGAATGGCAAACACTTGATGTTGTGATACCTAATGAGTGGTAGGAATTAGTAAAATATTGGCAAATATAAAGGAAAAAGCATTCAAAACCTGATTGAGTAGTAAATAACGCAATTCTTGTGATTCGTATGACATGTTTATAACCCTTCCGTCCCTAAGAATGGCTTTTAATGATTTGGTAGAGATATGGATAACCAGAGGTGTTCTGCACAGGGATTCGTATCCATACGAAACGATATTGATTTTGACGCTACTTTTGGTGGCGCTGTTGAGACACAGCCAATGGGCCACAATTATGGGGTCTTTGATCTCAGAGGCGAGTGTGTCGATCATAAACATTGTCCGCAACCGCAACAAGTCGTGCTGTGTTTGGGCTATGATTTGCTCCAAAATGGTGTCACTTTTGCTCAATTCTGCGATCGTCTGTCGGTCGTAGGCCTCAGGACCGGCCAAATACCGCTTACGACTGACGCCGAGTGTGGCAGTGGTCGGGTGTGGCATTGGGTGATGAAGTGTGTTGTGATGCAACTCTCGTAACAGTTGGTGCAGTGAGTGCTCCAAAACCGGTTTATTCGGTGAGTCCTGTTTCGATGGTATGGCCAAAGAGGAGTTCTTCTGGTGTTTGATCTTTCCATTGATAGTCGTGTGACACAACACTATAGACAACTG